CCTGCATGCAGTACAGGTGGGGAAAAGAGTCTTGCTTCTCCCTTTTGCTCTGGCCACTTTCCTGTCTTCTACGGTCAGTAACTATTGCCCTTCTGCTACATCACTCTGCTTGGAGCCAGCTGAGTAGCGACTGAGATCTCTAAAATCTGTGAGCAAAATAAACCTTTCCATCTTTAACTTTGGGGGTCAGATATTTTGTCTCAGTGATGAGAGAAAAGTACCTAAGCCAGAGCACCTCTCTGCTATGAAGACAGATAAGCTTGAGTCATTAGTTGGAAAATAGAAGCACCTTAAGACCATAACACTAAGTGAAATGAAGCAGGCTCACAAATTTAATTATTGCATCATTTCTCTTATATGCAAAACCCAAAGAAAAATAAATTAAAGGGCAAAATAAAAGGTAGAGTACAGGAAGATGAATCTTTCACAAACACGAAGGGGCTCAAAAGTGTGTATGTGTGTGGGGGGGAGAATGAGTGTTTGTTACAAACATGTAGCAATGGACTAATAAACATAATTTTTTATTTGACCAATTTTACAAGGTTATAATCTGAACAGCTACTTTGAAGATAACAATGTGCAGTACAACAACCATTATTGATTTTTTTTTATCATTTTGTTTTGAAGTTCCGTATCATGTTTAATGTTTTTTCTTACTTTTTATTCTCTTTAAAAGGAAAAAGAATAAGATCAAAGTTCAACTGTCATCTGGCTCAAAAACAATTGGGTTCACTGTCATATGCAGGGTCTTCAGGACAACCAAGGCAAATCGGTCATGCATGTCAGGGGTTGCTGAGAAAGCTTGTGTCTAAAATAAATAAATAAATAAATAAATAAATAAATAAATAAATAAATAAATAAATAAAAAGAAAAGTGAAAAAGAAAGCAAATCATCCCTGGTGCAGATCACAGAACAAAGCAGACCCAAGCAAGCACCAGGGCAAGTCACAGCGGAAGAGAATGTGAAGGTGCCTTGGCGAGTGGATGGCACAGGATGGATGAGCTCCACCTGGAGGGTGTGGGCTTGCTGCCTGATATGGTTCGTACTGTCATTGAAAACAATGAGGAGTTGACTCTGATTGCCATACAGGAGGCAGGAGACTAAACAGGAAAGGGATTTCCCATAGAATTGGTGAGAAAATGCTCTGTTCACAGGGATGGGGTGGGAATGTTTGCTTCTTCGTGCAGAGTGAAATTCCTCTGTCAGGTTTTCTTTTGTGGCTGCATTTCTTAGCAAGGGAAACAGTGCCTGCTAGAGAGTGTGAAACTAGCTCTTCGCTGAATTTGTGTTCAAAGGTGCAGTGAAAGGGTAAGAACAAAAGTGCTTGGTACTTGGGCCACGTGGGAATGTGAGGAACAATGTGGCTCTGGCTCGGTGAAGTCAAGATGTTCCTCCTGACTTTGTCCGCACGGCAGGGTGTTTCCCATTGAGCACACCTCCATGATGCGGAGGTGGAAGGAGTTGACAACTTTGGTCACCCTTTGCTCATGCGCTGTAATAAAATGCAGGTGAGCAAAGAGAAAGCACAGCACATTCTTAATAAAGGTTTTATATGCCAGGGATTCTTTAGAGGAAGACCCAGGGACACAGGGAAGATGTCCTGTGTTTGAATTTGATGAACTGTGGCCTGCTGTGTAGAAATGTGGTTGGACAGAAGAATATAATCTCATCAAAACAAAGCAAGAGGTAAACAGAGCCAGAACTCACCTTCAGATCCTTTCTGGCCTTTCTGTGTGGTTTTCCTTCCTCCTAGGTACAAGTCAAGCTGCTTCTGGAATGAAGATCACAGGCTCTCCCATCAGATGAGGTTGGCAGAGAACTTCCTATGTGGAAAGGCAAGGTAAGGTCCCAGCAAGAGTTTTAGGCTCTCTAGCTGGTTTTGGGGAAAGCGTTTGGGATTCTGTGACTCACTTTAGAGAGAAGAGGATGCAGGAGGAAAGGAGGCTGGGAGGTCAGAAAGAGATGTGACTTTCCAGACTTTCCCAGTGTCCTCCAGCTCAGAGTACTTGGGATGTGGGTGGGCTACACCACAGTGTGTCACTTTCTAAGTCCCAGAATTGCACTGTTTTCCTTCAGTGACATAGCCAAACTTACCAAAAAACCAATAATCCTTTTTTTTACTGCAATGCTTACCAGAATTTTTTATTGTCTTTTATCAGACTTTTATCATCTTGCCATCTCATCTGTAACCCACAAACAACCCACAAATAACCTGGAGCACAAATCTGGTAGAAGCCTTTGCTTTCTTTTCTATCTGAGAAGCAAGATTCCTGTACAAGGTTGCATATTTGGTTACTGATATGCTAACTATCCCATTGCTTTATGTTCTGCGGGCTGTATCATTTTTATCAGACCAAAACACTCATGGTGTGGAAGAGGAGATAGAAGAAAACACTGCCATGGTCAGTGTTGGGTAACTGGGAGGGAAGAAACCAGAAAGCATCAGCAGAAATGATCACGGAGCTCTTCCTCTGCAGGAGCCACCACGTGAAGCTGGATGGAGGATGTGAAGAAGGCCCGGGGTGCATCTCTAGGAGTCTCTCAACTCAAGGGAAGGGCGTGGAAAGAGTAGGACATGGAAAACTCTCTCTCCTTTCAAGTTTCCATGACAGTCTATGACTTGCACCAGTAGGACAGATAGGACAAAAGTCACCCTAATTATGCACACACGCACAGGAGTCCCACAACACATGAGACACGTGAGAACCAGATGACTGACATGTGGGTCCATCCGGAGCTGGAGAGAGGACCGGGGAGAGGGGAAGTCCAGGTGTTTGCGTGCCAGAGGAGGAGGAGCTCTTGCTACGCGATGAAGACTCTCTGGGTAGCACAGGGCGGCCCAAGGTACCTGCATGAGGATGGCCTGTAGCCTGCCACGAAGTCTGTGTGGGGTCCAGCTCGTGTCTTCTCCAGGGATGCAGTTGATCTTCCTGGGTTGATGAGATTCCTGAGGAGGAGCCTCATGAAAACTGAGCTCCCTCTGGGAGCAACTTCAGAGAAACCTCCTCCCTTTGGATGGTAGAAGGTGAGAGCGAGGACCCTGTTCTCCTGCAGGTGACGGTACCCCCGTGCTGTGCAGCACACCTGGGAGTGCAGGTGACTAAGTTCCCACAAAACACACCATCACCCATGGGGGCCTTGATTTGAGCAAGTGCACAGGAAAGTCTCAGCACCAAGGAAAGTGACTGAGGAGTGAAGCATTCCTGCCACTCTCAGCTGCTGCAGGGTAAAACGTGCGCAGGACACAGGAGCATGTTTCCAACTCTGGGGGAAAATGGCGAACGTGGGACAGGCACACAGCAAGTGCCAGGCATGAAGTGCGTCCACTCAGTATTATCTCATTTAACCCTCATGTTAGTTTGCAAACTGTTGTTATGATTTCTATTTTATAGATTTGAAAAGTCAGGCACTGAAGTTAAATAATGTGGCCAAGTCATATGGCGAATACACAGCGGAGTTGAAGCTGTCCTCCAGGGCATGTGCGTGCACCCGCACCTGACAGAGTAAGCAGTTTCTACATTGAGAGGAATTATGGATGCAGGTTAGAATCATTGTACAGGCCGCCAATTTTAGTAAAAAGCTTGAATTTAGAATATTAAAAATGGTGAGGCAAGATTCTATGTGCTTCCCGACAGTAAGGAGGATAGAGACTTTGCACAGCTATTTTTCTATTGATGAATATCTCAAGTTTCAGGACTTTTCTTTTTTTTTGTGGAACCGGGGATTGAACTCAGACCCTGTGCTTGCCAGGCAAGCGCTTATTCTACTGAGCTATCTCCCCTGCCCGTATTTCAGGAATTTTCTTTCCTGTTATCTTTACCTGCAAAGCTCAAAAGCTAAAAAAATGGAAACTGCATTTGGCCGAGCTCCACCTCTTCCGGTGGCTTCCTGAAACTTGAAGGCGTCACGCTGCAGGGATCCACACACGCCCAGCCCACGACAGCTCGGGAGGGGCGTGCCCTTATGGCCCTCAGTGGATGGGTGGCACAAGAAAATGTACTTCCACACGACGGAGCACTACTCTGCCACAAAGAAGGACAGACTCGAGTCAGTCGTGGGAAAACGGCAGCACCTTGGGTCCACCATACTTTGCGAAATAAGTCAGGCCCAGAAGGTTAAATATCATGTGGCCCCCTTTTGTATGAGAAATTCAAGGACTAAACAATTTAAAGAGCTAATTGTAAAAGAGAGGTGACCCGGAACACGGAGATAGACTTTTGAAGGTGAGAAGAGGATGTGAGGACAGGGAGGGCTCAAGAGCGGGGAGGACAGGACGCACGCCAGTTCCCGGCGATGAGCCCTTTATTTGTATTGGAAATAGACTAAGAAGAAAGAAAAAGTGAGTGAGCACTTGATCTTTCACTCTGCCGCGCGGCCACTCAGCACCCAGGAAAGCTCGGACGTCGCCAGTTTTGGGGTATTTTTAGGGAGCACGTTTAGAGTTATGTAACTACATTATCAGGATCACCGTAGACACGGGGGTGACAGAAAGGATTTGGGGTTGGACCTCGGCGGAAAGAAGGGAAAGCCTAAGAGGGCAGGATGCTCCCCTCACCTCTTGTAGACCCCCGCGGCATGCTTGGTGACACCGCAGGGACTAGGTGCGAAGCTCCGTTACGCTGCCCTCGCAGAGCACCGAGCTGCTGGCAGCAAAAGCTCGGGAGGATTCCCAGGGAGCGGACGCCATCCCCGGCTAGCTGGGTCCCCCGGGAGTGGCAGGACTTTCCCTAAGGGGAGGCGGGCCCCCGAGGCTCCCCCTGAGCAGGGCTGGCTGCCGCCCCTTCCTGCCCTCCCGCGTAGACGGGACGATGCCGCGGCCTTGCGACTGGCGGGCCCCGGGGGGAGCCCCGTGCAGAGCTGTATTGCCTTTCAGAGCAGTTGTGTTTCATTGTATAGATGTGCCTGAGTGGGTAAATAATCAAGAGCGCTGATGCCAAAGACTAATTTGCCCCGGTTTGGGACGCCCGAGCAACGTGAATTATATTGACAGCTTTGCCTGTTCCTGGCCTACCGCCAAGGCGCCCCTCCGAGCAGGAGGGGAAAGCAGCCGGGGGAGTCTCCTCCCAGAACTGAGCACTGACTCTGAAGGGAAGCCGCTGCAGTGTCTGTGCCCCTGCAGTCTTCATTCGGTCGGCACCCCGTGCACGCGCCAGGAATGACGCGCGCTTCTCTGGCCATTTGCAGACAGCCGCAGAAAGGCTCATTTGCTAGACGCTCTGACCACCGCCGCGCTCGTGTGAGGAGAGGCAGCTTTTGCTTTGCTTCAGCGTCCGGGCTTTTCAAAACTCAGTGCTTTCAAGCCTCGGAAACGGGATTTTTGGAAGGTGAATGCAGCGGACTAAGGGGGTTTAATCTCTCTTTCCAATGCTCTTACTGAAGTTCAAAGCCCAGAGGTCTATCAGTGGGTGATAAACCAACGTAAAGCAACATCTCTCCAGTGTGCAAGGATGTTATTTTAGTTTCCATTTCTTATTTCAGTTTTTAACTTTCTATCAAGGGGAAAAAGAGCTTCCCAGTGAGAGCCAACCAAGGGGCAAATTACAAAGATCTCCCAGGAACATC